CCAGTTAGCCAGTCAGGCAAGGAGCTTTTGTCAAAAAACCAAATCCCATACTCCCCTATTTACATTCAAATGCACACTCACTTCCTTACCCCCTGCGGCACATCACGTACTGGTATGTGGCATTTGACATTAGTCTAGAGTCCCAAAAACTTCAACGCACCACACCCGTTCGCCAATGAAAATTCAAATAGAAATGCAAATAGAAATTAGCTTTTCAAATGCTCCAGCTTCGAGGCAATTCAAGGCAAGTCCCGAAAGCATACATTGCACATTCTATATGCGTGTGTGTGTGTTTTATGACATAATTTGTGCAATGCCTGCAGCAATAATAGACAGAAGAAGAAACTCATGACGCTAATGTTTTACTTCTTGGAAATATTCGAAAATGTCAAATAAACTTGTGTTGCCCAGGGACAGGAGAGTGTACCAAGCCAGGTCCATGTGCGCTCCTCCAAACGGACGTTCGAATATGTGCTACCTACGTCTAAACATACACATATTTTATAGCATTGGAGATGCCTTCTTCTTTATATAAGAAGAATTTCTTTTATGGAATTTACACTAATAGCTTTCCATTGATATCCTTGCTTAATGGTGTTTTTAAAAGGTGCTCCAATTCATTGATACGAGCCCCACAAAATTGGACATTATCTTTAATACGCGATTTGAATGAACGTTATAATATCGTGTTAAAGTGATCAGACACATATATAGTAAGTGTACATAGCCTGTGCCTTCAATAGATCAAACAGAAAAACGACTGCACGATAGATATTCAGTTTAACAAGTGAACATTTATTACAATGCATGCCTGTTGTTGGCACTATGTTGCTAAGAATAAATTTATAATAAGCACAGGTGCAAACATAATAATAAATAAACACGGGTTTAGTTTAAAGTAAAAAAAGGTAATGCGTAGCACTTGTAATAACAACAATTAAAGTGACTGCAAAAAACCCCAAAAATAAGGAAATTTTATAGCGAAAACGGTAGAGTTTTGAGCGCACGCTGAGGCAAACAAATCTCTAAATTAAACTTTTAAAGACCTGTATCAACAGCAACAACAGCATAGAAGCATTAAAAAACATACGGAAAACGTGCCTGCTAGCAAAACGATAACCTTATACCTAACGAAAATAATTTACAATCCCAACGAACTGCGAAGGCATGATTGCTTGGCCACATCCAAATCAAATATCTTAAAACTAACTAATTACACATCGTTTGGCTTGGCATCCAATGTAATGATTTCTGCAGAAGCTGCAGAGATGAAGCAGAGTAGGAAAGCGTGAGGCAACTTCTGAGCTCTTCTTTATAAATTATCTCACAGAAAATTAAAAAATTGGGAAAACTAAATGAATTCATTGAAAGCGAACCAATAAAAAAGCATTGGAATCACAATTCGCTTCTTTAAGCCTCAGTGTGCGGGCTGGTGAGGAAACACTTAATACATTTTATTCCTGGAGATGTACATTTATTTAACCTTTTCACCTACTACAAGTATATTTGAAGCTTTTTTCTCCACTGTTATGGATGAACACAATATTCTAATTAATTTAAAAAAAGGCATACTCATCAGTATTTTTGATATTTGGAACCATTTCTGCATAATTCATTTATTTAAATAATTTGAAAAAATGTCCCTATTATTTATTGCAGCTATAAGCAATACCAATCAACTAAATGTTTTTTTCGCTCAAAATGGCACCATATTGAAAAGTCAACTATTGACATAGTTTAGTTCAGTTGTTTTATTTTAGCAACAAGTTTTATTTACATTTCCCTATAAATTATGAATACTTTTCGAAAAGTTTCGTTTTTTGATTGAATGCAATTGTTTTGTTGTTTGCTTATTGTATAACAAATTAAACAATTCCCGTATTTATAATCAGTGTGGAGTATTTTTGATTTTAAAGTTGCATTCACATTTATTCAAAGATCCATTTTGAACAATTTGTAACATGATTGAAATCAGATATACACATATTTGTTTTCTCCGCGCTTTTTTAATAACTTTTTACATGCCGATCCCATATTTTATTCAATTCTAAGGCTACATATAACTGCTTTGCGGCTAAATAAAAAATATATATAGTATAATGTAACTAAAAGTATATTTTGTGACAACACCGATTCAGTTTTCCAATTAAAAGACGATTAGAGTTGCAAAAGCCTACCTAAAATTGAATGAGAGTATTATCTTGCTAAAAGCAAGATTTCAACAATTTGTTTCCAGAATCTTTTGGAAAGCAACGCAGCCATAGCATTTAAATAAGATGTTTAAAATGTCTTTCCTTTAATCAGCATTGATAAGAAAAAACTACTTACTTAACAAAAAACTACTTAGAAATACCATACACACATAATTATAAATGTATGTATTTATTATTAACCTAAATTGTGACGATAAAGATGCGAACATGAAAACCTGCCCCAGAAGAAGAGCGTAAAAAAATTAAATTTAATTAAATTAAATTAACGGTCGCTAGAATGAATAGCAACAGCAGCTAACATATAAAAATACAACACAAACAACAATAACCATAAAGGAAGGCAAACGCCAAGAGGCATAGCCGAAATATTTGATTTTGTTTACATTTTTCTCCAGCCAAGAAGGAAAGCCAAAAATGTAGCATACATTTGAGCGCCGGCCAAACACTGCACCGGGGCAAAAAAAGAAAAATAAAAAGTGGAGAAAATCAAAAATACATGAAAATTTTGTTGTATTTTGTTACTTTTGCAGGCTTGGATGCCAAATGATTTGCTTTGAAAGTGACCTCCAGCAGCAGCACCAGCAACCTTCTCCTGGGGGGTTTCTACTTCCCCCACATCTCAAGCTCAAGCCAGACAATGCAAAAATGCAAATACAAAGGCGACTTTGCCATCTTTTTGTTTGGCCAAGCAACTGCAGTTGAACGCTCACAAGGACACTTTCCACCCGGGGCATACGTAGAGAAAGGAGACACATGCACACGTACACCAAATACATATAGACACCAGCACATGAAGCAGTCACGAAACTAGTCTGTTGAATATGGAAGACGTGCCTGCCTATCAGAGTCTGCCTAAACTGTCTGCTTAAACTGTCTGCCCGTCTGCTTGTCTGTCCCTTCATGCCTCCATGCCTCCATCCCTCTGTCTTCCCGTCTGGCACAATCAAAACAATCTAAGCTATCAAATAGGCCATAGCGCGCGTACACAGGCATTGAAACAAGCACACGCGCACGAATTTCTAATTAACTGACAGTCTATCAGTTCACACACACACACACACAAACACAAACACACACACATAGAAATATACGCACTTATTTGCAGGGGCAAAGGCACAGGAAGTCACTTAACATAAGTAAGAAGCTAAGCCAACTTTAAAATTAAATCAAAGTCACTCCAAGGCAACTGTGCCGTCTGGCCCATAAGCTGATACATAAATAAATAGTTGCATGCGTACACGAGTATGTATGAGCAGCATTAATCATACAGTACATGAAGTAGTGTGTGTAACCCAGCATTTTGCATATTCATACCATTGAGAGTTTATAAGAAGCCACCCCTTCTGGCCAATGTTTACAGATGTCCCTATGTTCAAAACGGCCAGCCCGCTCCTCCAAATGCAATTTGCGAATGTGAAATGTAATTAAACGCTCGTTGGCTTTGTTCATGGAGGAGCTCCAAAGAGCTGCCGGAGGCACAGCCTTCTGGAGACAAGCCAGCAAGCGGCAAGCATCATGAAGATGCATTGCAGCAACAGTTTCTTCTTTGCCGAGCTAACATGAGATGATGAGGATGAGTAGATGCTGGTCAGACAGCCACGACGTCTGCAGACAAATTGGTGCCACAAGCCACAAAATGACATAAGTAATTACAAAGGGTGATCCAAAAGTTCTGCTTGTAGTGCAGCTTCCCCTCTATAAATAAAGGTGTGTTAAAACGCGACGTAATTGGTATTTTTTATTATTATAGCGATAGAAAAACATAGCTGAATCGGTCATCCAGAACCGACGTTTGACGGCCCTTGGCTTTTGAATCCCTACTTGTATTTCTTAGATTTACGCAGATCTTGTTTTTAATTTTTGCTTCCAAATTAAATGCCAATATAAAAATATATATAACTTCAACAACGTCTCTGGTAATAGTGACTGGAAACAACAACCCGGCCCGGTGGTCTTGCTATATAATTTAATTTTCCCATACGCGAAAACCCGCAAAAATCAAGTATTTGCTTAACAGTTTTCATTAGATATAATATTAAATTTAAGTTCATTAATAGTCGTATTCAAAAGATGTTAAAAAATATAAATTGGTAGGGTTTCCAAAACTGCTAGAAAAAACTGCTCCAGCACAAAAATGTAGTTGATAGTCAAAATTTTATTTTATTTTAACTGTAAATTCTATTCTATTCTATTTGTGCAGTTTTTAAAATCATCGTTCCCTGAACTGATTTATATTCATAATCGATTTATAAATAAATATATTACAAGTATTAATCACTAACCACTAATGTTTAATATCTGTTTTAAAATAATTAATAAATTTGAGTGTCTGAGAAAATAAGGAAACATGAATCTAGCATATTTGGAATTACGGAAGATCACTAATAAGTTTGTGGTTAGGAATTTCATCAAAAGGCACCCCTTATTCCAAATATCTAAATGCAAGTCCAAATGCTAGCAGATGTACAAGTACAGAGATGGAGAGGATGCTGTATAGTAGAAGGCATTGAGAAGATGTTTAAATAATTCGACATCAAATGAAGGAGACGACGACGATAATGATTATAATGATGCCAAAGAAGACGCTGATAACTATACATTTAGTAATTGTAATTGCAAATGGCATAAGCAACAATAACAGCATCAGCATAAGCATCAGCATCGGCATCGGCATCGGCAACAGCAAGAGGAACAAAAACAAGCACAAAAGCAACAAAAATAACAAAACACACTTAGAAAGCAACTAAGTGAGCGCCTACATCTTTATCTTCATCTTTAGTCACTTACCTGCTCCTGGTTGTCTCTGTTGCTGCCTTGGTTGCGTTTTGCTTTCCCACTGCTCTCTCCTTCCTGCTGCTCCTATATCTTGTCCTGACAACACGACTTAGAAACGCGACGCGTCTGGGCCAACACGTTGTTGACCATCATATAAATTATACACTTGCAGATGCATATTATTTATTTTGTTGTTTACTCAAATTGCTTTGATTTTAGTAAAATTTGTTCACCGTTCTGTAGATTGCCTAACAAATGGGGAAATACAAGTATTTAAATGGGGGAAACACTGCGGGCACTGCAAGAAACGCGCGCGCTCCTTTAATGACTTTTGGGTGACACCTGAACAAAAATAGAAAAAAAAACGGGTACGCGGGAAAATTGGCGCGCAATTTGATAGACACACGCACACTCACGCATTCACACACGCACACACACGCACACACACGCACACACACGCACACACACGCACACACACGCACATGCAGGCAAGTCAACAACAACAAACTTGACAACCACCACACCAGTCCGCTAAAAAGCGGAGGAATATTGGAGACGGACTTTTAGGGTTTACTTAGTTGCCGTGATATATATAAATTTATATATATATATTTATACGTTTATATATGTGTGTGTTTGTGCGTTTCGTGCGTTTGTGCGATGAGCGCGCGCGCACAGCTCTTGACGTGCCGCGATTGGCACTGCTTTTTCAGTTTTGGCCAGTTCGGGCTTTCCAAAATGTCAACGAACCGGTTTGGCGCACGTTCAGCCGCTAACTGAGCCAAAGCAGTGCCTGGCATTACCATTTTAAGCACGAAGTCCGACGCACGACGCACGTTGCACGATGCCGAAGCACGAAGTGTTAAGCAAAACGAATAGCGGAGACGCGACCAGACGCACGGATGCGTGCGAGCTTTTAGCCGTTGGTTGTACACACACACACACACACACACACACACGCACACATACGCACACAACCACTCACGCATTGCTGCCGAAAGCTTGCCAAACACACGGATATGACCTGGTTTATATAAAGATTGAGCAACCCAACGGCCGAGGAAGACACGAAGGCCGGAAAGACGACCAACAGATACCGCAGCTTTTGGCCACTTGTTGACACGACGACCCTCACAGGATTTATTAGGTTTAGGTTTGAGTTTTGGCTCATTGGCTCCCTAGCTGCTTGGCCGTTACAAAAATGAAAAAAAAAACAACAACAAACAAAAAGCCAAAAGCTTTTTCAGAGGCGACAACATTAAATAACTTCCCACTGAGTTCTTGTTACTCAATTATAAACAAAGGAAAAATGCAGGAAACAAAATAAAACCACTCTACTTGTAGCCTTGGAAAAGTGCAATGTTGCCAAAGGTGCGAAGCCAAGCCAGCAAATGCCAAAAGGTTATCGGATAATAAATACAGACTCACAGCACAGGTAAAAGCTATTCTGCAACAGTGAATTAATGTGGGAACATTCAAATTGTTTAGGATTACATTTTAAAATTGCTGCTCATCATTACGTTACACACTACAAATTAAGACCTACATATATGGGTTTAATGAAAAATTGATCATTATATTGTATTTTTAACCGATTTCAAAAAAAGAGGAGGTTATCAATTCGTCTGTATATTTTTTTTTATTTTTTTTTTTATTTTTTTTTATTTTTTTATCTTTGTTACCTCGGTACACTCGACTGGGTAAACTGTTGTTAAAGGTTCTTATACCATTTGAAAGCTGGTGCTTCCAGAATGGTCCCATATAAATTTAGTCCAGTTCTTACAATGGCATCCATGAGAAAACAGCATAAGTCTTAAATTTGTATTAAGTATGTGCAAGACAAATGAACTATGATTCTTTTTTTATTGGAAAGGATGTACTTCAAGGGTACTTTGATGAGAGGTTGGTTAGCTTCTGCAAACGAGGACGTTCTCAATTCGACTGTATTTTTCATTGCTACCTCAGAACTTTCGACTGTGTAAACCGATTTTGATGATTCTTTTTGTATTTGAAAGCTGATGATTCCCATGTGGTCCCATTTCAATTTAGTCCAATTCTGACAATGGCATCCATGAGAAATCCATAATTCTTAAAACATACAAAATGTTCATGGGTTATCATGCGAAGGCACCCGGTAGATGAGGGTCAAATTTAAATGAGATATCATGTGAAATAGAATTTCAATTTCAGTATAATGCCGTCGAAAAAATCTAACCGTAACAATGCGTGTAGCAAAAATACACGAACCCAGCGTTCTAAAAGCTCGAAAGTCAGAAGAACAAACTGCAACAAGAGCCGCAGCTCAACAAATCAGAACAGAAGATATTCGCAGACGACAGACAGACAGTGTGATGAACGTTTTCGACAAAATACATTGAGAACAAGAGTGGCGCTCTCTCATATGAGAAACACGTTTTTTAGGTCTTCCCATATTCATACACATTAGTTAGTGTACTTCACATTCACTAAAAATCCAAAAATAAACAACAATTTAAACAAAAAAAGAAACCGATTTCAAACTATTAACAGGCAGTAAAAAGTAAAAAATAATTGCGTATTCTTCTACAACTTAATATTCAATATATAATGTAGATACAATTATTGTAATTTTTGGAGTCGGTGTCAGCCAAGGAAACACTACAATATATCAATCAATCAATCAATCTACCAGTAATAATATGAGAATACTTTAAGAAATACTTTTTTTACAAATTAACTTTTATACGAACGACAATATACTGTGACAGATTACAGATATTATGTTTTCTAAAATAAATACAATTGAGCAATACGAGTAAATCGAAAATATATATTTTTTCCCTGCAAACTCATTTACCCATGTCGCATTCCTTTTCTATAGTATCTTGCAACTTCTATCTGGCTATCATCCGAAATCATGGTTCGGTTCCAGAATTTGTTGTTATTGTGAAGTTCGATTTACTATTTCTAAAAAATGTGATCAAATCTAGATTCAATAATAGATGTATGTACTCTACATACTTCCATATAAATATATAATTTATAGATATTAAAAAACTTGTATGCGTTCGTTTAGTATTATGTTAGGTTTAAGTTATTAAGCTTTATGGTTTTTTTTGTTTCATTTTGAATCTGCTTTACAATTCCATCTGTTAATCTAGCTTACTGCCAACAGAGTAAGAAGATACTAATTTTAAAAAATTCAAGCTATGAATAGAAGGGGGATATTCCACTTCGCGATACCTGATTAATAAGACATACTTGTATATTTCAAATAAATGCATTGTGGTAGGTATCTATTTGTTTCGCATATGTAGCCAATCATTCTGTATCCCCCAAGAGTGTGAGGTTTACAAATGGGTACAGGTATCTACATGATCAACATGAAGGAACGATTCGATATACTTGCAGTCCTCATCGTATACAACTTTTCAACAATAATAGCTAAGAAAAACAAACCTAACAATCCATTCATATGTAACTTCTTTTTTTCAATAGCTTTGTTAGGATAGTGTGGGTTGAAAGAAATATTCTCCATAAAATACCAGATTACAAAATTCCCGGTATTTTACATGATTGTAAGCTTTGCAATTTTTTAAAACGCTTATTGGACTGAGTTTTTCGATCTTTAACCATTTGATTTATGTTTAAAGGACCCAGAAAGTGCGCAAACAACTTCTGGGCCACATATCTACAAGTATATTAAATCTGAATTCGCTGCCATTGCAACAAGAATTTCTCTCTGTCTCTGGATGCGGTACACTCTTATATACTCGTATTTACGCAAATACATATATTTTGTGGTAAAGAGACAAAGGCTGAAAGCGGGGAAGGGTGAGGAGTTGGAGTCAGTGTGGCAAGGAATGCTTGCGGCATGCAAATGCGGCCGCAGATTTTGTGCGTAATTAGTAAATGGAGCGCAGGGCGTATGGGGCAGAGTTCGACGAACGAATTTTCAGGATTTGAGGGAGCCCGTTGGCAAAAGAATAACTAAGAGTGATTGTCATTAAAGTTGGCGCTTTAGAAATCGCGACAAACGTAAATTTTCCGCCCTTAACTCGAGCATCTTCCGCGGCGCCTTCGGGTATGCAACAATTGGCGCGCTGCACACAGTGCAAGGCACACACATACATACATTTAAATAATCTAGCTACGTATGTATGTGTCTTCAAAAGTAACACGGCACATAGCTCGGCAATAAGTGATAATTCTAGAACTGCTGACGCAGTTTCCGCAGTCCACTCTTTAGCCTTTAATCTCGCATATTGTGCTTAACCTTTGCCTGCAATGTAATCATCTCTTGATGGAATTTTGCAACAAAATATCTTCATAATCTGTTGATTTATTAAATGGTTTCAGTTTATAGAAATAAGATGAAAAAAAATGTCATTTATCCACATTTCTCTCCTTCATCTCATCGCATCTTATCTTTAGATGGCCTCTGCCTTTACCTTTTCTAACTGATTTTTATATCCTTGACTGGTGCAATGGCCCCCGCCCTGCATTTAATCTCATTCGACTCTTTGCGCATTTTTTGCGCGTCATTTGCTTGCCTTTGTCCTTTTTGTGTTTGCAAGTTCTTCGTGCAGCCATCTTCACGGTATCCGTGTCGTCAGCATCGTCGCTGTCGTTGTCGTTGTCGCTGCCGTTGTACTTCAATGGCTTAATACGCGCTGACTTGCTTCTCGCAAAGTTTTGATCCGACGCACGTGCCAACGCTGACAGGGACGCTCACACTACACTGTATTTTAAGCTGACTGACTACCTGGATGGGGCTTAAATATGAAAACGCGCTTCGCACATACATAGATATAGATACTTGTATATAAAGTTGTTCAAATAAATACCATCAGCGCGATATCTCTTCTAATCAAAGGAAACTTCTCTTCTAATATGGTCTCGCCATATCCGGAGCATTCAGGACCCCCTTAATTTTCACGTACAAGTTTTTCATGAATGCAGAACAGGAGCTTCTCGATTACATTTTTCTTGCACTATCTTCGTTTTTCCACATCATTGATTGACCACAAATTAGGTTTTGTATTTCAAGCAGAGGAAATACAAAGAGTCGCACCTTAACCTGTGGGCAGAAAATGGAATGCACTTAATCTATTCTACCCTAACTGGAAATTAATCAATTGGTTTATGTGAATACACCCAGAGCAACCTCTCAGAAAGCAGAAGAGAAGGCTCATCGAGTTACAATACATGGCTAGCCAAAGATGGACATTTTATAAATCTTTTTAGAAGTGTAAAGAAGACGTATTCTAATTTTCTAAATCTTTTTACTATATAGTGTAAAAAAGACGTATTCTGCCACATTTGAACTATTTAAGCATTATTTTTTAAGTTCTTTGAAATTGAACAATCGCTACACCATTTTCTTTTCATCATTCAAGAAAGTAGAGTTTTTCAATCAAATGTCCTATTTTATTGAAAAACTCAATATGATGATAGCAAAATTTATTTTTAATTGCAATTCGATTCATCTTAATGGCTCTGACGATACTGCGTTGAATTTTTTAAGCAAGATGCGTCGCATATTCCATTCAATGCCTTACAAGTCCCATTATGAATTTGCCATACCAACTGAAAAATAGTAACATATATAATTAGTACACACATATTAATTAGTGTTAGTTTAATTCAAATTTAGTCGAATGGATAGTTGGAGATTGCATTATCTTTCTCTATTAATCAGATATTTGCCCCTATCACCCTAGCTATGAGCCCTCTATATTCTACTCTAACGTATGGGATTCTTAGAGAATTAAATAAATCATGAAATTCGAGCCCTCTTTACTTAGAAGCCGTTGTCGAATAACTCACATCTACCGAACTTCACATCACATAAAAAAATGTCGGAGCCTCAGGAATTGTTGGGTCCTTTCGAGGTCTTTATTAAAGACAACATCACTGAAGACGTTCACAAACTCATCAAAACCTATGCGCGTTACAAGCATAATTTCGAACGAGCTAAGCGTCAGGTAGATGAGCTAATGGTGGAAGTGAAGGATATAGAGAAGAACCGTGCCGAGCTGGCTCAACATGAAGATGCCGAAGAGCTGCTGACCCCATTAGGAAGCTTAAATATGCTGACTAAGCTAAGCAAGGAGGACGCCACAAGGTTGATGGATGAGCAGCTTTCAAACGCTACCCATTTACTCAACTCCAAGCAAGCTGACGTGGCTATCCTAGGTGGGGAGCTGGACAAACTAAACACCCAGATATGCAAGAAGCTCACTGGCGCTTAAATGAGAGTCCGACAATACATGTAATTAACTACCTTCAGACATGAACGCTTTCCGACAAATGTAACGACACAATACTTAACGAATAGGCATTTTCGAGAATCGCATAACCATTGTACAACCACAACTTTATTAGACTAATTAGATTATTTGATGAATCATTACGATAATACAAAAATTGACAACTGAGACAACTTAACATTTCTTAAATAATTGCACTTAAAATACATAAAGGTAAAGAACTGCCTAATACTTGAAGCAACTTTGAAACTGTGGACAGCGTGAACTGGGGTAAGAGTAAAGTGTACATATGTCCATCACTAGACGGTAAGCCCCTGATCATAAAACTACAGGCACGCTTGTCACCATAACTGGTACATTTTCATCACTTTCCCCTGGACGCTTCTTTTCCAGCTATAAATGGTTCGTCTTAAACAGAAATTGTATCTGTTCCTTTACATTTCAGGGAAAATCGTTACGAAAAAGAACCTGCAGCGATTTCCGGCAGCGTTTCCAGTGTTACGACTCATATACATACATAAGTATGTAAATTCATTATTTTGCATTTATTTTTTCATCGGAGCCAAAAATAAAAAACGAAATAATTGTTGCCGTGCGTCTGCGCTGTTATCTAATTGGGGCCTCCGAAAATGCAGGCCATACATACTTGTATGTATGTATGAACATCTAAAAATATAAGTAGATGTAGAAGATATTAGAACCAATGGCTAATGGAGGGGGGAAGGGGGGCATTAAGTACTACTATGCTTACATAAATATGTAAGCATGCAAAAAATGTGATAAATGAAGGACCGTACGACCGATTTTGTGCAAACTTCACATAAGCCATCTACTAAATAGTCCGAACAAAGCGTAAGCATTTGGTTTGGATAGGTGAGCCGGTTCTTGAGTTATAAAACAAAAAAGGAATGCTAAAGTCGAGCAGGCTCAACTCTTAAATACCCTGTATCACCCCACAAAAAAATAATTTAAATTAATTTAATTAATTAACTAAATTAAATAAATTAAATATAAAATATTCCATACATGCATACATACATTTACATCAGAATCGTGTCTATGCGTGTTTGTGTACTTGTACATAATTGTATATATGTATGTATGTGTGCATTGGGCCTGGGTATATGGCTATAACTTTCATTCTGATTAACCTATCATAATGAAACTTGGTATACGGATATATAACCACTCACTGGATGTGTCTACCAAATTTTAAAATTTTTTAAAATTCCAAGAATTACGGGAGTTATAAAAAATCATGAATAGGGGGGGGAGTGGGGGGTTGCATCGGGAAAAATGAACAAACTCGTCCTTTCTCGGGCTCAGGAGAATCTAGATACCAAGTTTAGTTATTCTAGCTCTTATACTTTCTAAGATCCTTGCGTTCATACAGACAGACGAACAGACGGACATGGCTATATCGACTCGGCTTGTCATGCTGATCAGCCACGCCTCCTTCTGTGTGTTACATGTACACTCGCACAAAACTAATATACCCTTGTACAGGGTATAATTATAACGAAAAGTGGCATTGATTTATATATATATATAGATGTATATATAAATTCATAATAAGCATGACGAGAAAAATCGATTGAGTCCGTCCGTTTGGATGAACGCCTAGGTCTTGGAAACGGTTGAGCGTACTTAATTCTTAAACTCTCACATTTTTGATTTTCCCCCCTCCCCCAGGTCAACCATTTTTTCAATACTGTCCACACGTTAGATAATCTTGTGTTTAAATAATTACTTATATAATTTTGTTTCAAATTTAATCAAAATCGGTCCATTCTAGGAGAAGTTATTAGCAAAACTCAACCCAAAACCCAACTCTTAAATACCCTGCACCCAATTCCACAAAAAAGTAATACACAAAATGTTTAAATTTAATTAATTTATTTAATTATGCCACATATGTATGTATGTTTGTTTGTTTATGGGATGTATGCTTAGCATCAACTGCCATCGGAATTGCGCCTATGTGTGTCCATTTGTATCTATGTATGTATGTATGTATGCATGTGTCTTTGTGTACAAACGAAAATAAAGATTTTTGATGGGTCTTCTTCCACAATTATTATTAATATATTATATATTTCACTTTGTTCGGTCGCGTTTTATACAACTTTTGGTTTCTGCTATATGTGTATATGTATGTACATACTTAAGTGTGCGTGTGTGTGACTGAAAAATTAAGTAATTTGTGCATTTTACAATTTAAATATAAAGCTAATTTAACCTAAATAATGTATGCATGTATATGTGCATGTACATATGTATACTACATACATACATAAGTATGTATGGCTTGATATTGGTGGAATAGTTGAATAGACTCGCGGCATTGCTTTAGAAGAATGGGGTGCTGTCTAGGAAACTTGGAATACATTGATAGTTTGGACGATAGCTAAGCAGAAAACCACGCGCATACAAACAGTACATATTATATTTGTATATTCTGACAAGTTGATGTGTTTTTTTTTTTTTTTTTTTCTTAAAGCGATGGTAATTTTATTACCTTACTAGAACATTCCGTCCGACTTGGCCACCGGTATGAGCACAATTAGGAAAACCACAAAATTTCTCATGACTAATCGCCAATCATTTGGGACCGCGAAGGGCACTAAAATTTGCGTTAAACGATGCACCTCATGGGAGGCGCAGACAAAAATGAACGATGTTATGATCATGTTGAGGGTTGGGAATCCGGGCAATAGGACCAGTACACCATGGCGGTCGGCCGCGAGCCAAATATGATATTGGCAGACAAAAAGCTCCAACGATATGCGACCGAACCAGGCAAAAAAGTTTGAGTAACGCGTACGCAAAATTCCGGAAATGTTTCGCAGTACCACATAGCCGATAATCGGTATGAATACGATATACGAATGAATCTCCTCGCAGTTTTGAACGTTACGACAAAGGAATGAGAAAGATGTGTATGTGCCCACGCCTAGTAGGGCCAATAATGTAACTGATATGGAAGTGCGACGCGAAAACAAATTACCATGATTGTTATCATCGAAAACGCTATACTTTTGAGCAATATGAAAGCAGGCGGCATAAATCATGCCAAATGTAACGGTATAGCGATCCAATTTCCATTGATACCACCACTCATGTATGTCATCGTCGGTTGTCACGAACAGTGCCTTCCACGGACGTGTGACAAAGATGCGCTCGAAAAATACCTCGGACATGAAGAGCACAGTGATGACACTTAAACAACCAATACATTTGCATACCAAATACAAATAATGCAATGGATTGGCGTCCACTGAGGAGGCTGAGATGCGTGGCGGCAGCGACAGCACAAAATAGACGACACACAGCCAAAAGGAAAGCAACGGCACAAAGTAATAGAATTGATATGGACGGTTCATACAAAAGCATAACAGCACCGTGAGAAAATTAATCCTGAACATGGACTGGAAGAAGCGAACAAAAAGGGAATAATTGCCTCCCGTCTGCCAGACGTGAGTGAAGTGCGTGTAGCCGGTTAGAAAGAAGTAACCGGATATTAGTAGCTTGATGTGCATATGTATGGGGAGCACACGCTGAGCACCAGTCATATAATAAATAAGCACCACCAATAATATCCATCCACGCAGCTCATCTATTTGGTCGCGATTTAACACCTTCGTGAAACGCGAGTCCTCCGTGAAGAATAGGCCTAATGCGAAGACATAGCCTACGGGTATCCAAAAGCTGAACTCCGAGTAATATTTGTTCTCCTTCATGAAGAAATTGGTGCGATCACATAGATAAAAGTAGGCCATTATTAGGCCCAGCAGCGAGAGCGCCACCATAGGTCTGCCATAGTCGGTAATGATGGCAGTAAAGGCGCTACTAGCTGATGATCCGCCGCCGGAGGAACTGGAGCTGCCCGCACCAGAACATGTATTTGACCTATGCTGGCGAAGTGGTACGTAGAGCGTGTGGCCACGTAAATGAAGCAGCCAACGGCGCAAGCACATCACACAGACTATTGTCATGCAAACACCAAAGAGCGCATAGGCTACAATCTGCAGAGTCGTATGTGGCTCGGCGCTGCTGCAGCAGGTGCCATCATTATAATTCATATAATCATTGCAGTACATATTCCACAGTAGCTGAACCTCTAAGCGCAAACCATGGGCACACAACCTATGCCCATCAATGGCATTGTCCAGCAGCCCGTTGGCAATTTGCCATGCGGACTCCCAGACAGTGGCGTCTGTGTAGCGAAAAACGCTGCGCGCAACACGATTTAAGCGATCGATATCCTCGTTTAGCACCAGTTTCCATGAAGGCGGCAACTTCTCCTCGTCAACCCGATCGGCCAGCTTCCACAGTACTCGTGATGTTTGCGCTACCAGACGATCGAATGGCATGACTAGTCGTGTTAAATTGGCGCTATACTGGCGCAACAGCTCCTCGGTAACGTTGCCGGCCAGTAAACCGGTGTGGGTCAGACCCACCACATATACCGAGGCCAATTGCTTTTGTGCCTCAAATTGTGCAAGGAGCTCGATAAGTGAATCATTCACCTCATCTGCTCTTATATATTGGGCAAGCATATGCAGCTTCTTGTCCTCAAAACGTGGAGCAGCACCCAACTCTCCAGTATCATCGTCTTGCGCATCATCGTTTCCAGCAGCTGCTGCATGGGAGGCGTTGTTGTCATCCTCTAATAGGGGCAAATGAAGTTGCTCAATAAAACGCTGATAGAGCAAGCGCACACTGGAGTCGCCAATGAAGACAAAGTTGTTCTTATTGCCAAAAAAGGCTAGATAGCGTAGGCAGCGTCGCGTATCTCTGGAATAAAAATTGAGTGCGTATGTGAGCGAGTGCGTGTGTCATAGAGTCAGATGTCAGGGTCAGGTATACATATGTGTGAGTCAGCAATAGATTATGTGTACTTACGTGAGCGAATATTTGTGCACCATGCACCCGTATGGCTGCCACTCATTATCGCCCTTAAAACGGCCTTTGGACAGCAGCCATTGGCAGGAGTCACTGCCTGCGCAAATGGAGATGAACCAAAGATCAGAGCTTACAGAATTCGATAAATCAATAAACTCACAACGAACGTACCGTAATTCCAATTGAGCAGGCCATGGTAGAGCACAAAGCCCATTACCAAAAGCAGGGCTACCTTTTTGGCATTTGCCGCGTTCAACTGCTCCATAAACAAATCCGCCTTAGTGGGCACACGATGAACGCCCCCGGCGGCGCCGCCAATACAAATGCCACCCAGCTCATTGCCACCGCTGCCGCGCAGCTCACGCAGCTCCATGTTTGGGCACCCTTATACCTCTATATGATCCTAGTGCATTTTCTTCCACAGTATGTCGTTTTACACGTTTTTCACTTTTGTTCCGTTGTAATTTTTTGACCGTTCTTTTCCTTGCGGCCGATAGGCGAATTGCATTGCTTATCGGCCCTACACCCCCCACACCCACGAATACAATCGAAATCAGCTGTTTCTCGGGCGCGCATTTCCTATACCAGTGCATTGTGAATGACATCGCTGCGGCGCAACGTATTTCTTTCAATTCAATAGCAATTTATTCGCTATATTAAAAACACGCACTTAAATTGTAGAAGACAAGAAATATTGCATTGATATTGAGTGATTTTTATCCCTTGGACCTAATAAATATTTGCGTAATTGTATATACATATATAAAGTTTTTTAGTACTTAACCGAGTAGAATGTTTGGTGTGTGAACCAGTTTCAATGGCTCCTCTGTTTAAAGTGGGGTTAACTGCAAGACTATAATTCAAGACATGGGCTTCTAATAATCAAGGACCAAGCTATCATATTTTGTATTATACTTGTGTTTTTGGATACTCGATTGCAGCTAACAAAGAACTTGTTACGATATCTTACCATTGCTGCTTCCGATTGAAAGTTGCATTGACGTTCTTGCCTGCCAGTTTTCATTGTTTGATTAATAGAATTATTATTAAGTTACTATTTGTACCTTTTTGCAACATAGGAAAATAAAATTAAAGTATAAATAATAAAAAAAAAATACATTTAATTCCCTTAAATGGGTTAAAAAAGTTCTACGTATTTCCAACAATTTACGTTACATTTAAAGTCAGTGTGTCGAAAAAATAAAGCATTCATTTCGCGTTGCCATACATATCGAAAGTTCCGATTGAGAAATGCCAAAATAGAAATCGATTTTTCACTACTGACAGTCTGGCAACTATCTTAACTGCCCGATGACTTTTGTGCAGCAAGAGCGAAAAACTAAAGTGCGTGGAACAGCATAATATTGTTAATTAAAAATCAACGTGAAATACACTGCACATTTGCGGCGGATTGCAAATTACACGTTGATCGTTGATTTTGCAAACGACACAAATTCAATACCTTTGAAACGTTTTAATTTTTTCTTGTGCTTCAATATTAAATTTTGCACGAGCATACACATACGACCGACGGACGAGCAAAGCCAGAACGACGACGCGCAAACGAAACGAAGCCAAAAGCAATCGGCGAGGCAAAAAAAATTTTTTTTGTGGAAAAGAATCTTAACTAAAGAAGCGCATGGTTGTGTGTGGTGCAGCAGCACTAACAGCAAACGTAAGCGAGAAATTAAAACCCAATTGTGAAATTTAGCAACTACCAAGGAGTGCGCGCATACACCAAATACGTACACCACCTGGAGCAGAAAAAAAACGGCGGTCAGCAAACGACGACTGGCAATAGGAGAACACACCAAGAACCAACGCGACAAAAAAAATAAAACGTAAAACGTTGACAGGTGACGTATAGTACGCGTTAGTAGGTTCTTCATCATAAGTTGGGCTGTGGAGAGAAGCACACAAAACTATGAACAAAATGCCAAAATTCGAGGATGTGCTTACCATTGAGCCGGAACATGAGTTGCGTTTTGTCGGTAAGTGTCCCCCGGTCCGAACCCACTTATTACCCACATTAAAACGCGCGATTGTCTCTTGTAATTATTGTTATTAGAATTAGTGCAAACAAAATTCATATTTGCTAAAACCCCAAGCCGCTTTAGAAGGCCATTTTGTTTGTTAGTGAAATGGTGAAACGAATGAAATAGCGACGCCACGACAACGTATATTGTAAATGTGTAAAGATTGTTCACTGGATTTCGCATTTTCAATAACATTGCAATTGGTTCCTTTACCCTTATTTTTTATGCATATTGTGCATTGGGTTTGAGTGGGTAATTCGTAAACAGCAGTTTATTTTAATTGTTTCAAGTTTTTGCAACTGTGGAGCAAACTGCAAAGTTCGCACACACACGACATTTGTGTGTACATATGTATGTATATGTATGCCGAGTTTGTGTCATACGTATATACATATGCATGTATGTATGTAAATGTATCGGTATGCACGTTTGTATGTATGTTTGCGCTTTCTTTCAGTTCTGCGCTATTTCGCAGCTTATCAATAATTTCTTTCACTATTGTTGTTGCGTTAGTTTTTGACATTTTTTTTCGCTTACGTGTGCCATGCGCCCGGGCCCCCGCCCCTCACCATTCTAGCTCTGTTCCGCAACGAGATTATGATTATTATTTTTGTTGTTGATTTTGCCGGCAGCTGCAGAATTTTGGAAACAGATTTTGGTTTTTCTCTCTTTTCCTCCCTATCCATTCTCCTTCGCACTTGGTTCCACTCTTACTCTCTTGGATCCGTGTGTGTGTGTGTGTGTCTTTTTTTTTAAATTATGTTATTTTTTTGTTCATTGAAAATTTTGTGCCTTGCTGACGAGATTTATTTATATACCACATACGCGCAAAAATTTGTCTTGGGCAATTTTTCTTTTACTTTTTTGAATTTTGGCCAAAAAGCATAGAGAAACAATAACAACAATTGTTCTAGCCAGGCCCTAAATGTGGCACAGTGAGCATTGGCCATTGTAAACTTTACATGCCCCACTGTTGCCCAGGCTACCCCCTTCGATGTGCATATGTGTGTATGAAATGCAATCCTTGGCATGCAGGTGTGTAAACAAGTGGCTAGAATTGGAAGTGTAAACAAAGCTTGTTGGCACCACTGTGCACCAGACGCCTCCCCCGCAGTCGCCGCCACTGATCGTTGACAGGCGACACACACACGCTTTTCCAATGCCAAGCTTATACATACATATACATATGTGTGTGTGTGTTTATGTGCGTGAGTCTCGTTTTACTTTGCTTAATGAATTTTCTTTCATACGAACAACACAAATACAAAAAGAACACATGCGAAAACAACAAAAACATACGGGACAAATTTCTTTTTACCAATTCTGCTGTCTGCCCTGTTTTCATTTTAATTCAATTAATTTAAAATTCTTTTTTTTTTGCTGTCGCAGCCCGCGCAGTCGCTGCATGGAAAGCGAAAGTGCTACCAATTTCTTTTGTTTTCTTCAAACAAACACACTCAAATGACGCAATGATTGACATGTCAAGAAGTTGTCGGTCGTTTGTTGTTGAGAGGGAGGGCTGGAGGCGTAGACCTATGATGCAACCAACAACATTTCATCGGCCTTTTTAGTACAAACCCCCACTCCCCCCACCCACCACTTTTATACTATTTTGTTTTCAACCTCTTCGAAATTTTTAAATAGGTCCGTTCCACCGACCCGTCGTCACAATCATGACTCTGAGAAACAACGCAGCTTTGCCATTGGTTTTCAAGATCAAAACCACCGCACCCAAGCGCTATTGTGTACGTCCAAACATTGGCAAGATTACGCCATATAAATCGACCCAGGTGGAAAGTAAGTGATATTTTCTTTAACGATTGAATGATGATGTTTATTAAAACACTTCCACTTCCACAGTTTGTCTGCAGCCCTTCATGCACGATATGGTGGAGAAGAATAAGCATAAGTTCATGGTGCAGAGCGTTCTGGCCCCTGATGATGCCGACTTGACCGATTTGAATAAATTGGTTAGTCAAATTTTGTGAAATGTCAAATAATCTAAGACTTGGACATACTTACCCAGGAGTTACAGTTCCTTAAAACCACACAAACTGCAACTGCTATGATAG